TGGAATGATCTTCCCACCCCTATCAGGAACGCTGAATCCCTGTCCATTTTCAACAGCTGAAAACTCATCTCTTTCGAAGCTACTTGACTTCATCCTAAAAAAAGAAGAAAAAAAAATCTCTTTTCTTTAATCTTGCCCTGTCTAGCTTGTACGTTTTTGAACAATGCCTGAAACTTGGTATTACAAGCACTTTGTGTTTATTTGCCTCTTAATGATGAATGTATTCCCCAATTGTAAGTCGCCTTTGGATAAAAGTGTCTGCTAAATGAATAAATGTAAATGTAGATGTATTTGTAAATATAAATGTGTAAATGAAATTTACAAACTGAAAAAATTAAGACAAAACTAAAGGCAGAAAGAGCCACAAACACACAACTGAAGTCCGCCGCAGTAAAGGCCTGGCAAAGCATCACAAAGAAGAAACCCAGTCTCTGCTGATGTCCATGAGCTCCAGACTTAAGGCAGTCATTGCCTGCAAAGGATTCTCAACAAAATATTAAAAATTCAAATTTAATTTATGATTGCATTTATTTGTCCAATTACATTTGAGCCCCTGAAAATGGGGGGACCGTGTATTGCAATTCCTAAGCATTTTATGTTATATTTCTGTTCAACCCCTTGAATTAAAGCTTAAAGTCTGCACTTCAATTTTGTCATGCTTGTTTTATTTTTAACTCTGTTCTGGTGGCACACAGACGAAATTATGAAAATTGTGTCAGTGTCCAAATATATATGGACCTAACTGTATATATATAGTTTAAAAGAGCATTTTGATGAAAATCTCTATATTCATGAAGTCAGACATCTGATCTGAATAATTCAGACTGATCCGGTTCATCTACAGACCGTTACAGAACTATTTTGATCCAGTTTGCCACTTCCATTATTACCATAGGGTAAGTGCACCCAGCCGATTCTGGAGTCCTTCTCATCCCAACTCCTTTTACAATCAAGCGCTCGGAGCACGTCAGTGAGACACATCAAAGTCTTTATTTTTAACGTTTATAAGGTTACATCTCCCAAATGTCACTCATGGAATCATTTTCTCTTAATAATGGAAATAAAATCACAATGCTTTAAATGAACTTCACAGTTTTAATGAAAGTGAGGCACAATCTATCAGAAAATCACAGTTTCCATTCTGTCAAACACTGAAATGAAGACTAAATAATCATATGTATGTAACTAATATTCTAATTATCTACGCAAGTCAACTAAAGGGTGAAAAAAAAAGTTTGCGAAACTGAAAGAAAACACTGTTGACATTCAGGAAGCTGCTGAGGTACGTTCACTGTCCGTCTCCTGATTGGTCAGCTGCAGCAGACAGAACGCCGCCACAGCCAACAGGATGCCGCAGATGGGCATCAGGAGGCGGAGCTTATATCTGTGCCACACACCCTCCTCTGTCTCCACCTCTGTGACTTTCCTGTTCTTCTTCCTCCGTCCTTTCTGTCGTTTCTCAAATGCCTATGAAAGCTAAAGCTCAGCTGATTAAAGAGCCTCTGAAACAGTGAGCAGCTCTTCAGATCACAGTCATTTCTCAGATCTCAATGACATTCATGCGTTTCTCGACTCACCTGCTGTTTTCTCATTTCTCCCTCCAGAGCGGCTCTTTCCTCTGCTGCACAAGCCTGAAACACACACACACGCACACACACAAAACTAATTGTCCAGTAACTGTTTCTCCAAGTTTCCCACTGAGCTGATGGCTGTGTGTTTATTTGTGTGTGTGTGTGTGAAATGGAATCTGTGTCCATTAACCCTCAGCTGGGATGGAAAAGTGTGTGTGTGTTTGCTGTTTTATAGTTTCACACTCTCTCTGTCTGAGCCAAAAGAATCAATGACCCAGCAGTGGATTTTATGGCCCTTCTCCATGACAACAGTTCCTGTGTCGCTCTACACTTTCACCTGCATCACAGCCATAACTCTGTGTGTGTGTGAGTGCGTGTGTGTGTGTGTGTGAGTGAGTGAGTGAGTGTGCGT